CCTGCAAAATTCTGACAGTAAAGACTACCAGTCAGCTACAAACACAGGTTCCAGCAGAGTTAATCTTCAAAAAGCTAGGATAAACTATAGTGATTTTATGGCATTTTGAATCAAAACGATCTTACTGTTCTTGAAAAAGAAGGAAGGACTCGAGACCTATAGAAGATGATAGCGGTCCCTGGTCTAAGGTACACTGTTGCCTCTTTTCAGAGTGAAAGCGGTTTTTCCCCAAATTGGTCAATGAATGAAAGGATAATACCCAACGCAGTGGCAAAGGTGCCCCTCTATCACCGGCAACCATGCCGAGCCTGAGACAATAGCTTTCTCCTAGCCCTCGTTATAGTCCTCTCCCTTCTGCGTAACTACCAATTTTCTTTGTGTCATCCCTAAAAATGATTAATCCCTTCCTGATAACGCCTGATTATGGAGAATTTTAATTAGCTGGCTGGTAGGCATTCCATGAACAACACACCCTCCTATCATTTTCATCACGTATTAAGTGGCATTATTTGCAGTAAAGTATGCACGGGCCAGAGGTCTTCCTCGCCGTTCCTCTTGCCTCAAAGCTAGAAGGCATTAACCCTTTGTGGTGAACCTCACACCTCCCCAAGTGCATGTAGCTGGCCAAGATCAGCTTACGGCTGAGGTCAGTTGATGGAGACTGACCAACTAACGTAAATGACTCCGGGATCCAGAAAATCTTTGCCAGTTCTGTGTGTTCAAGCAAAAGTCTCAGTGACTCCACAGATTTTTTTATGAGTGAAGGCGCTGTAGCCAAGGCTGCTATGAGGAGTGTCAGAGTACAAGTTAGCCTGCAACAGAAATGGCTGCGTGCCCTTGCTGCCCCCCGAACAACCTCATTAGGACTCAAGTTTTAATAGTGCTGGCAGGTTACACTGGGGAGCGAGGGAAGGAGTCATTGAAGACAAGGTGCACCTATTTAAAATGGAAATACTAAAACACTACATAGCTGACTACAGTGCTAGTCACTGATAAGGCTTCATCCTTCAGAGGAGAAGGAGCTATCACCTAAAAATGGGCTTTAGTGCTTTCCTGGCTCAGTGTCATTCAGCCTTGCACTGTATGCATCTGAGCCCCGCTAAAGAAACAGGGATAAATTGCTTTCCACAGCCAAAACTTGTAATTTCTTACCCTTTTCTCTATGCAATTGAATTTTACACCCCATTCCAGATGAGAAAACCCCATCCTCAATTAAATTTATGTATAAAGTAGCAAACCCCTTCCATCCAGATCTTCTTTCTGTTTATCTTAGAGGGAATCAGTGGCAGTGCCTGTGCTGGTTTATGAGAGGAGGCAGAAGTGTAAGCCCATATTTTATGATGAAAATGACAGTAGGAGTGACCTTGCTCCAGCACATATTGCTTTTTTGACAGTGTCTAGAGGAGATAATCTAACTGCAGTCTGCAAAGCATCATGTTTCCTTAGATCCTGCTACAGTAATTCAATCATGAGCATATAAAATTAGATGAAAAAATAAGGTAACTAGCCTTCTGGGACTGAGCGATTGCAATAAATGTTGCCTCCTGACAGTAAGCATTACATTGTCCTCTTGAAAGAGAGGTTACCTTTTATTACAGCGTACCTCTTCTCTCCTTTCAGTCTGTGCCAGGTAGCACTGCTGTTAAGCATAGTCTGCAGGATGGCAAAAAAATCCTTAAAGACAATTATATGCTGCCTCTAAGGTACCAAAGCAGTGAGTAGAAAACTTCCAACTCTTGACCTTTTGGATCAAATGAGCAATGCCAGACCTTTCTTGCTTTTTTTTTTTTTCCCCTTTAAAGATGCATGTTTTCCCTTTCTTTTTGCCTTTCATTTAAGTATCACAGAATACTTTATAAGTATCAGTTGCTTAATCAAATCTTACAAACCTTGCCACCCATTTTAGCGAGGTGAAGCTGAGCCACAGCCGTGCCTGTGTCTCTAAACTCAGTAAACTCAGTGAAGCTTGTAACTGAAGATCACAAAGCAAGTCAATAAAAGGGTTTGAGTGAAACTGAGGTATGGGGGAGCTTAGTCTCTAAGTGTCAGTACAGAAATTGTTTTCAAGCCATGAATATTTGCCCATGCATTTGTCCTGTGGACAGCTGAGAAAATACAAAATTTTTTTTAATTATTACAGGCTTGATCAGAGTATAATCACATTTAGCTACCTTTGAAGATACATACGGGGCTGACATAAAGTCATATACCAGTTACTGCTACAAGCACACACTTTTGTAGGCAGTCACAGACTATGCAGCAAGACCTGAGCTCTGGGTGCTTTTATACAATGTAGATGGAGAAGAAAGCACCAACCAGCAATAGGTACTGCCTGCCACTGTCTGGTCATTACATTGGCTCCAGCCGTCATTTTTGGGGGGGAAGCAGAGGTGGGAACTCCTGGAAGAAACCCTTGGGCAGCAGATGCTGGTGGCCTGCTGCTGCTCTACCTGCTTGATCAACTGCAGGCTAAGCAGGGCTCCTTGATATATCCTCATTCAAGTGGCTTTTCCACCTATATGCTATACGTGTATATGAATAAATAGGATTTCCTGATAACCAGGAAGATACTAGAGTATGACTGCTTATAAGCAAGAAAATAATACCCTGAGAAAGTGGGGCCAGGCCAACTCTAGCTAAGCAGCCTGAGGAGCTGTGGAAGTCTCCTATTAGTGGGTCCAAGTGATTCTCCATCAAACCGCAACGGCTCTTCCCTAGTTATATGACCAAAGTTTGAGGGGATGATTACTTTTACCCAGAAGTCAGCATTTCCACCGGCCTGACACATATCGGCTGTAACAGGAACCAAAGGGAGTTGGCTCTGCTGGAAATGTACCCATAGCTGATATCTGAAGTTAGATGGGTCCTACATAAAAAGTGCTAAAAATAAATGCTGGTCCTGTAAACTGCTTGAAAACAAAGAAGTTGAAAGACCTCTCAATTTCAGTTAGGTAAATAAGGAATAACTCCACCAAATGTAATGGACTGATATTTCTATAAGAAAATTGCAAACGGAAATCCTACCAAGATCTCTGTATTTTCTCATGTATTCATATTTTGCAAAAGTATCTGAATGGAGATACTGACATTAGCTCCATCGTTCAGGCTGTGCTGTATTTGTGCTCTGCTGAGATTACAGTTTGAGAATTTAGTCCTATATAATGAAAATTCAGGCAAAGATATATTCAGCAGATGTAAACAGACCTAACTCCAATGACTTATAGTGGAGGTATTGTTTACAGCAGCTGAGAATCTGGCCCACAGTTTGTTATGCAAAATAATTATCTTGCGTGCCTGGATTAATGTACACACTAATAAAACTCACTAATCTCTTCAGGTATCACTGCAGGTTTTCTGTGAATGAGACATAATGTAATACAAACATATCACCTCATAACTGTTGATAAGACCCTTTAGAAACCTTAATCTTGTTATACACAAACACTTCTAATTATGGTAAAGCAGTTATCTTGGTGCAAAGGAAATGGACACTGCCTCTGGTAGCTATTGACAACCTTTCTTGAAATGAAAACAAGAAGAAAAATATACAGGGCTTTTCCTGTAAAGAGACAAACTTCATAAACTGAATAACATTTACTACAGAACCGAATGTTGAGTGGGAAATGACACTTCTCCACATATGCCTGCCATAGTTATAGATTCAGAGATTTACATGTAGACTGTTAATCAGTCCACTGTACTGTCAATGCCATTTCACTGTACTGCATTGCAAGCTATTTTTTTTAGAATTGACATAAATGCCCCCAAAATACAGTCTATCTTTCCTCCTTGGGGCAGAACACGTTATTTCAAATGTCCATGTCCAGTTGTTTTGCTTGGTATCATGTTAACCATTCTACTTCTCCACTTTACCTCGACTATCCTGGTTATTTCCCATTTTTCCATCTCAAATGCTTCTTGTTTATCCTTGGTGTTCACCAAAAACTGTTACTGGCATCAATGAATATTTGCTGGTCAGAGAAGGGGCAGTCCATGCATCGCCAAACTGACCACTGATGTTCAGCAGAGAGACTACTTAGAGCTGCTCTACAACAGCATATACAACAGCTACCTTTTTTTTATGTATGTTACACACATTTGTTTTCTCCTGAGCTATTGAAACTGAGGCATTTCTTGTTGGCTTGCTGCTTTGCAACAGTTGCTTTGGAGGGTGCGCAGCCATTTGAGCAGCTTCAACCACAGCAGCGGACGACCAAGAAGAATAACACTTACCGTGGGGGCTGCAATCCAGTTCTGCATGCACGCGTTGTCTGTGTGATTTGGGATAATTAATCAGAATTAGATTACAGAGGACTACATGAGATGGAGTTCTGTATTTATTCTTAAGCGAGCTGGAGAAAGCTGACAACTCTTCTCCTGAAATGCCCTCCATCCTTAGCCCTTTGGATACTGTAAGGCATTTTCAACACTAGAAATCTCTGTCAGACCTATAGATTGCTCCAAGCTAAGGGAAATTTAGGATGGATGAGCAGTGAAACGCTAGATATCTTGTACTCACATGGTCCATTAGGCAGCTTTCTGCCTTTTCTTGGCAAACTGTCTTTTCCTTGTAACTTATTTACTTTGAATCCTCCTGCCCACAGTACTGGTATGAGTGGATGCATTGGGAACTCAGTCCCAGTCACCCACAGTTAATCCCACCTCACTGCATTATCTTTGACGTTTTGTCTCCCCTAGGTTTTGCTGTTACTTTAACTTACGGATGGAGTGGTCAAAGGAATGTATCTCTATCTTCAATAGTCAGACATACACAGAAAAAGGTTGCACACATCTGCTTTCTAGTTAAAAATAAAAATACACCAAAGAAAAAAACCAACAATGTTAAGAGTAAAGCTTTAAAAGCAAAGTGATCCAGATATTTATGGCCAGTCTTCCAAAGCTGCCCACAGGTACACAGGATATCTAAAGATATCAGTGATATAAAGATATCTACCCCCTATCCTTAGGCACAACAACTGCAATGACAAACCCCAACGTACCTTCACATGTCAGTAGGAAGTATTCCAGATTGTGACTGAAGGAGGCACGGAAAAAAGTACAGTTGTCAATCAGATCACAAGACAGACACCGCCTGTTGAAGTTTCCATTTGTGCTTGCGCTGAAAAAGTTAATACAAGTCCATGAAGGTCACTGAGCAAATGTTATCTGCAAGCAACATTACTTGAACTTTACTGTACTGTAGGATAAGAACATAAATATAATGTGTCCAACATTAGCAAGAGACAAAGCATTTCCATTTGGTTGAGTTTAAATAGCAGTAATGGCTTTTTTTTTTTTTTTTTTGCCTGAATGCAGAATGTATAAAAGGATACTGATGTCTTTTTTTGCAAGGTCAGGTGGTTATGAAGGAAGCTAGAGTTTTTAAAAGAAAATAAAGAAAATGATAGCTGCAATTCCACAAGAGGAAGCAATAAATTGGTGAATGAAGGCATGAAACAACGGAGCAGTATTTCTATGCCTACTTACATTATAACAGACAATAAAGAGCTAGAATTGCTTTCTTTAAGTTTCTTACTGCTTGCCTCACTGGTCTGATTTGCTAGCAGCCAAAGCCCTTTTTGGGGGTTTAAGTTGTGGCTCTTACAACATCCAAGTAGAAAAGAAAGACCATGTTTAGGACCCTGTTTTTAAAGAAGATAACATGGCCTGTCCACGTGCTCAGAAGCGTTTTGTAAGAGTCTACTGTAAGTTGAAGAATGAACTACAGATTATTAGCAAATAATAAACAAAATTTTGCACTGTTATAGCATTTTGAAACTTCAAAATGCTTCAAGAATATTAACTAATATATATTTCCAATATTACTGTAAAGGGGATGAGTCTTTCTGCTGCTATTTCAAGGTAGAAAGAGATGAGGCTGAACAATCTGTTTAGAGCCACAGAGTCTGACCTGAGTAGGTCTTGAGCTGTGTTTAGGCTCAGGTCATGTCTCTGGCTTAAATCCTGTTTACAAGCTACTAAATCAGACATAAAAAGCTAAAAAAAAGCCCAAACAAACCCCAGACCTTCATCTGATATCAGCTGTCAGAGCTCCAGTGGAGCTCTGCCCATGGACATGTGCCGAGGACGCTGCTGAGCTGACACCCTTGGGCTGGGAGGAGAGGTGGTCCAGCTACCCAGTGCAGGAAATCAAATACCTGAAGTGAGGCCACGATCACCGTGTAATCAAAGTAAGGGCAATGGCATTGAGATTTTGGGCATCTCTTCCCCTGTTGCCTGTGTGGGGAGGTGAGGTTAATGAGGCACTGGTGTGAGCTGCAGGCCAAGAGGAGCGAGGGGTGGGAAGCACTTTGACTCACGCCAGCGGCTCTTGAGCAGCTGTGCCTGGATGCAGCTTTGAAAATGAGATTTTCTTCCCATTTCAACAGCAATGAATGGTCAACATAATTTTGATATTTTTTTTTTCTTCAAGAAAACAAAACACTGAGCTGAGCTACTCTCAAAAAACTGTGGAGTGCAGTGAACAGGCACAGAAGTCTCAAAAGGAAAAAAATAATTCAATTACAGGTAATTTAGTTCACTCTAGTTTCCTTCCCACTGAGGAAAAATGGTATGACAACATGTTAAAGAACGAAAACATGCTGACTGTCCCTTATCAACTGATGATATCACTAGCTCTGCATTTTGTTACAGGTGCTGAGATGACAGCAGGGTGATTGAGAAGAAAAACAGGACAAATGGAATACTGATTCCAACATGATTATTTGAAAGTTTGGGTCTCCTCCCCTTCATAATCTGCTCCCACAATACTTTGCAGTAGCGACACTACCGATAGCTTTCTATAAACCAGCCTTTTACTCATCATACAGCTACAGGTGGTAGTAAAGTCATCTGGAATTGAAGAAAAACATTTGCACACACAACATCTTTATTTCTTTTCAATTCATGAAAAGGTGTGGTGCTATCAAATTTCCATGAAAACTGCTGTCTAGAAGTATAAAACCAGTTTATACCATTAGTTTACATAATTCTGAATTCTTTCAAGTGTTAAGCAGTTCTGTTGGAAAGTTTTGTGACAGTTTATCAGTCTTGAGACCAATTTAAAATTTGTAATAAAATGAGAAAATTGCGAAATATAAAACATTTCCAAATGTCAAGCATTTTGTTCACTACTGTTATGCTGCTCTGCCTGTTCCAGTGATACATCGCATGATCTTGCAATGCCATTAAAGACAAACACAGAAGAAACTGTTTCTATTGCAATCACTTAGGTAATGCTTCATGTAAAATTAAAAAAATAGGAAATTTTGTATGTGAATTTAGTAAAGCACATACCTGTATAAATGTCGCCTCCTTGGCAAATCTTCTGTGCTGTGGAAATAACTGGAAAAAAAAAAATCAAAAGGCAGTTCTATCATGAGAAGAGCATTTACAAGTATCTCATACAAAAACATTCACATCACCATTTTCCTGATCTTGCAAAGGCAAGGCAAGTTGAAACTGAATTAGAAGACATACTGAGGGACACATCACTGCAGATGCTCAAGCAAGTACATCGTAGGCTGCACTGCAGTTAAAACAAGCATGGAAATGTTTGGGTCCTAGCCTGGTCTAGTGAGCAGATCAAAAAGGATCAAGTGACTAAGTGAAAGACCTTCAAATTCTTGCTTCAAGGTTTACGGCTCAGAATTTCCTTTAAACACCTTTCTTTTTTCTCTAGAACCAGTTTTTACTTCTCTGACCGCTTTTTATTCTTTGCCCAGACAGATAGCTAACCGGGGTCTGATGCAAAAGCCCCTGAAACGTCCTCTTTGAACTGGGGGGTTGGACTTTCAGGGAAGACAGAGTATGAAGTTGAAGAACACTTCAGTGCCCTTGTTCTGTGCTGAGGCTGAACTCTTTCTGGCTGAACGATGAAAGCCCTGTTTTGTGGTGACAGCTTCTGAGGGCCCCAGAGAGCTTTCTTGACCTTGAATCAGCCAATGCTGCTGGAGGTGGCTAACCTCAGTCCAACATGCAGGGTCCAGATTGGTCCCCCAGAAGCATTTCATGTGAATAATGGCAGACTACAGGAGCAAATGTAGCGTTTGTGGGTGAATAACGTGTCAGGCAGGATATTCAGCCCAGCCCATCTGCTTCCAATGAGCTGCACTTGCCTTGATGTATATTTTGATTGCACAAATTGTACATGGTGTTTTCTGCTTGACTGCAGAGTTAAAACGCAAATAAGACTTTGGTGCTAGTTTGCTACTTAGCTCTGCCAAGTGGTAAAAACCTTTATATCGTAATGAACTTATTGGTAATTGAGGGCGTTCAAAACCTTGAAGGAGCATCGTGCTCTTAATGATCCTTCAAAGTTGATCATATTCCAGAGGCTTTTTACTCAGCTGTTCAGGGGCCTTAAGAAAATGAGAGGTGAGAGCCTTGTATCCAGCTGAAACTTTGCCTTGGAAGGAATCTATATGGTATTTCATTCCAGAAAACCCTCCAAACATTTTATTATGTAATTTCTTGAAATGTATTTTAAAAAGTAAACGTTTACAGGAGTTATTTTACAAGCATAAAAGGCAAGTGTGAAGAAGGGTGGGGGGTTTTTTGGGTATTTTTTCTAATGCACTGGTATTTTTTCAGGTCAGTGAAGGATTCTTTCTAAAACTGACTATCTAGATGGTCAGTGAAAACAGACTTCAGAGGTTAATATGCAGCAGGAGCAATCACTCCTCTACACAAATGTATTTAATAGCCACAGAAAGAAAGGTTTGAACTATACAGAGAAAAACAAAACAAGACAAGATATATGGAATGGTGTGAGAGGTGAAGCCAAAATGGAGACAGCTTCTCCTGCTCCCTTATCCCCATCTCCTTATGCTCATACATTTCAGATGCATACACCACACCACTGTCACTAACCCTATAGTCCAGAGCTAAACAAGGGAAGACTGGTTTGCTAGACCAAAGTTTACTTACATTTTATGCCTCTTTTCATCGTATGCCAATATCTTTGTCACATCCCAGTCGCCAGATGTAATAGACTGTAAGTTATCACTGCTGCTGTTGGGCTGCCAGAAAGAAAAGAGAATTAGATTTCTTCATTCTTAAAAGAAGATACCTGAGCAAAGCTTCTCAATTTCCACCCCCCCCCTTTCTATTTCTGTGAATCTGCAGGCACAGAAATAATACAGAGTCAGGATCATCTTAACCATAACTCCACTGAAGATAATGGGATGAACGCAGCACAGAACAGCTTCAAACCCCTTCCTCTAATCCAGCATGCCCACGAGCTTCTGATTAATCCTTTATAGCAGTATGGGGATTTACTTATTTATGTATAACTAAGAAGGCATTAAAAAACCAAAACAAAGCAGTGATATTGTTTGGAAACAGAGAGTTGGTTGACCTTTTCCTTTTAAGGATCTCATTTGGAAATTCATGTTATCTTATGCCCAATAAACCATCATTGAAGGTTTTCTTTTATGCACAGGACCCACATTCTACATTTGCCCCTTGCAGTCTTGCTGGTACGAGCACAGATATTAGTTCTTATTGCTTTCTGCTGCAGGTGAGACCCAAAGCAGTGGCAGCGAGTGGGTCACCTGTGATGATGACATGGCGATGTGGTAGAACTTCCCACGTCCTCCCTGGGGAATGGCTCGGACAAAGAAAAACTTCCGACCGTCCTTGGAAAAAATCGGCTCTTCATTCTGTAAGCAACAGATTTAAGGGTTGTGTTACTGTTAATTTATTGTATTTAAAATTTCTCAGCACTGCAAACCCTTGTGAAATTAATTCATGTTGAAATAAAGAGTGCTCTTTAGCAGCAACCTGAGGGAAACAAAAAAACCCCACTGAAAACCGGAGAAAGCGTTGAAAATTATTGTTGCTGTGCTCTCAGGAAAGCAGATACCTTTCAGCTGTGGGAAGACAGGGAGACAGGCAGTAAGGAGAGTCCCTTGGCTATAAAGTAAATTCCCATTTGCAAAGCAAAAAGTGCACGTATACAGCTGACTGCTTGGGGCGGTTGGAATACAGCCTTTAGAAATGGTTTGAACCTTGTTGGCACAAGTATGACAAATGCTGTTTACTCTGCTGGAAGAACTGATCTATTCCTGTCCTCGAGGAAACACAACTAACAGCATCTAACTGCTGCCTTTTCCTACTCTCTTGCAAATGCTTATTTCACTGAATTATTTATGGAGGGGAGGATATCTTGCAAAACTGTCTTTGACACAGAGCTCCCAGGTGAGTGTGATGATTGACTTTTATTGGGTGACTAGAACTTTTAACCAGAGATAGAAGAGACTCAGCAGAAAGAAATGAAACACCACATATGGCAAGCAAGTGTTTCCTGGAAGGGTCTTTGTTTTCTTCTTGTACAGGAGCCCCGAGGCACATGGGAAGTCTCCACCACAGGAGATGGTTGAACAGCAGATTACAAGGGAAAGCAGAAGGATGGCCCATATGGTGCGACACAGTAGCTCTGTACCAAGGGAACTGGCTAGATGAAGCTCCTCTACTCTGCATCTTGAATAGTTGGGACTAAAACAGGAGCTGAACCTCTGCTGA